AAAATAGAATTAAAAGGTAATACAGAATTTCCTGTGACGTTTTTGAAGGCCACTTGTATGTTACTGGGATAAATAATAGTATCTACACAAGAGTTAGCATATATGAAACTTATACATGTTTGATTACTATTACAGGGATGCCACAATTTTTCAAACCTCTCTAGAGGCTGTTATAAGTAAGGCAATATAAATGTCTTTAGACGTATAGCTGAATCTAGCTTATTTATCATTCAGCATTTTCTAATCAACTGCTGCCAAAAAGTGCAGCTAATGTGAAGTAATAGCATTACAATTTGTTTGTATGTACCAAAGAAAGAATGGCAGGCCTCTTTAATGCCATTGCCCCGTGATCCTGCTGCTTCTCCAGCCATTTTCTTACATGGACAGAGTCTGACATTAGGGACTGGCTGGGCCCAGCTTCTCATCCCAGCTCCACTTCTCTGTCAAGCACTCAAGACACATTAGTTAAGAACCTAAATATGCAAGGCCCAAGGTGAGCTACTACCACTCAGCTGAGAAACCTGCATCAGCTTATTTCATCTACCTAAAGCTCATCTTCTTTACCTGTAAACGGGCATCTAACTCCCAGTTTCTTTTGAAAATTAGATGAGACACATATGTGTAATCACCTNGAGGTGCAGAAAAGGAGATCCGTGGGCTTGGGCTCGAGAACACTACTTCCCCACCTGCAAAACCGTGGGGTTTAGCAGTGAAATCAAACATCGAGCCTGGACTGAATAGAGTGTTCAGGTGCTTCATAGGGGTACATGGCACAGTGGCCGAGAGCAGGCGCCCCAGAGCCAGACTGCTTGTGTTCAAACCCAGTTTGGACACCTGAGTGGTTTCCTCACTTTGCCATCACCCTGTTTCTTCATGTACGAGAGTAATTCAAAAAGTTGGTGGAAAAATAGAATTAAAAGGTAATACAGAATTTCCTGTGACGTTTTTGAAGGCCACTTGTATGTAACTGGGATAAATAAATAGTATCTACACAAGAGTTAGCATATATGAAACATATACATGTTTGATCACTATTACAGGGATGCCACAATTTTTCAAGCCTCTCTAGAGGCTGTTATAAGTAAGGCAATATAAATGTGTTTAGAAGTATAGCTGAATCTAGCTTATTTATCATTCAGCATTTTCTAATCAACTGCTGCCAAAAAGTGCAGCTAATGTGAAGTAATAGCATTACAATTTGTTTGTATGTACCAAAGAAAGAATGGCAGGCCTCTTTAATGCCAGTGCCCCGTGACCCTGCTGCTTCTCCAGCCATTTTCTTACATGGACAGAGTCTGACATTAGGGACTGGCTGGGCCCAGCTTCTCATCCGAGCTCCACTTCTCTGTCAAGCACTCAAGAAACATTTGTTAAGAACCTAATTATACAAGGCCCAAGGTGAGCTACTACCACTCAGCTGAGAAACCTGCATCAGCTTATTTCATCTACCTAAAGCTCATCTTCTTTACCTGAAAACAGGCATCTAACTCCCAGTTTCTTTTGAAAATTAGATGAGAAACATATGTGTAATCACCTAGCACAGAGCCCGACACAGAGAGGATGCTCAGTGAATGCCCATTTCTTGGTAATTCATGAAATAGCCTTTGAGAAATGACTGACTAACCTGCCCAGTCCCCTCATTATGAGAAATCATATGTGGTTCCCTGATAGTCACAACAGGTGAAATGTTGCCCACCCTCTTCAAGCAGAGCCCGGGAAGGGTATGACAGATTCCACAAAGCAGGTTTTAGCCAGGGGCTGCTGCTGTCCTTTGTGGAAAAGAGCCCGGCACACAGAAGAAAGAGGGACCCTAGCCTAGAAAGGCTCAGTGGCTCAGAATTCAACCAGGTTGGGTGTCAACACCTAGTTATGGATATGACTCCTAAAGCGAAGGGGCACTAATCTACATCAATATCCTGAGATCGACATGCTGTCCCCCAAGGCCAAAGGGAGGAGGTACGGAGCTCTGAGTGTGGGGATGAAGGATGGGAGGACGGATGGGACCATACCAAGAACATCGATTAACCCCATGCATGGAACTCTCATTTGTAATCTCAACCTGTGGTTTACGTGACATCTGAGTATACAACAAAGAACACTGCAGTAATGATGATAAGTCACCACATCAGCGATCAGGGTGACATGTGCCTGCACATCCCTGACCTGGCACAGAGGATCCTGGAGTGAACAAGGTGGACAACGACCTTTCCCTTCCAGAGCTTACAGTGTAGTAGGGGAGACAGATGACAAATGCATGAACATATGATATCAGGAAGTGATAAGTGCTATGAAGCAGAGTGGATCAGGGGTAGGGCCCCATGAGTGACCTAGTAAGTGAGGCTGAGGGTAGAGGTGCTCTTTTAAGACAGAGTGGTCAAGCAAGGTGTCTCCGAGCAGATAGATTTGAACAGGGGAGCATATGGGGGGGGGGGGGAGCAAGCCTTGTGAAGACCCAGGGAAACTGTTTTCATCAGATGACAAAGCAACTGCAAAGTCTTTGAGGCACAAATGAGCTTGGTGAGTCCAGGAGTGGCAGGAGGAACAGCACGGGAGATGTGTT